CACACACACACACACACACACACACACACACACACAGAGCCAATGTTTAGTACAACTCGGCCCTATGCAGGGCTTAATCACTGTGCCGGCTGGGTGGCATTATGTGGCCTGGGTGATACTATGTGTGTTGGGTGGTACAGTGTGCGGTCGGTCAGACCATGTGCCATGTGGGTTGAGCCGTACTATGTGGACTTTTAGTGCTAACGGACACACATCAGAGACAACTCTCCCCTGTGCACATTTCAATGCTTGCGGTTCATTCACAAGGGCGTACTGTGTACTTGTGTTGGAGCAGAGCGTGCCTTCCAACTCTAGCATATTTCAGGTGGCACACAGCTCGTGCCACCTGTTCGGAGACAAAACGACACTCGGCCAAATATCTTGCACAGCACAGAACAGAAGTGGACTCCAAAACGTCACGCAGCAAACGAAACTCGGCCAGCCAAAGTGTTGCACCGCACAAAAAACAAAAAGAAAGCGGCCAGCCAAAACTTCATGCTGGAAAAAAAAGAGTGGCCAGACAAAACGTCGTGCCTCGAAAAAGCACCGCAGAAAAAAGAAGCGGCCAACCAAAACGTCGGGCCCAGGCCCCAGCCGGGAAAGGTTCTTGCGGGACAGCGTCATGCGAGACCCTCTATTTCCCCCATCATCATTCTTACCACTTCCCTCCGATCCCCCTTCTTCCCCTTTTTCTCCCCATTCCTATCCCCACCCCTCTCCCATCAAATGCCTCTACCTCTCTCCTCCTCATGCCCTATCTCCCATCACATGCCTCTACCTCTCTCCTCCACATGACCTCGCCTCTCCCCATTTCAATCTCCTCCCCCAACCCCCCCAACATTCCCTCCAGCTCCCCCCATCGCTTACCCCCCACCTCCCACCCCCCCCTGGTCCCCCCCTTTCCCCCCTGCAATTACTCTTCTTTAGTCTTCATTTTCTCACCTTTCCTTTTCCTCAAAGTTTTTCCTTCACTTTCTTGATCATCTTCCACTAATCGCAAAGAACTCGCCCCAGCACTTGTGCATTTCCTCTGCTGCATATCAGCTTCCTCTGCTTTGGCGCACCCATTCAATTTGGCAGTCCCAGACCCATTCTCCCCCATATCCTGGATTCTTACAGCAGCCGCATCCTTTCCCTGCATTTCCATCAGCCCAGTGACATTGGTATCAGCATTCGTACCTTCAAAAAAACTCTCGTTGGCCATACCTCCTAAGCGCTTCGCTTCCTGTTGAGTTTGCTGTAAACTCATCCCTCTGTTGCCCCCCTCCTGCTTAGCGCGTTGATCGTTGTCATCGTCTTTGCGTTCATCTGCGTCATCCAGAACCACCATGCAATCTATCCCTGTTCCGATCGGGATCCCAGCCTCCTTCGGCAGCCCGTTCTTGGCCGCGTCCTTCAGAGCGATGGCATCGCATCTTTGACACAGCGGGTCAACTGTTTGCTCGTCCAAATTACCGACGGTGCACATGTCAGACCCTGCTAGAAGACTACGCCTTGCATAGCTCCCCAAGTCCTCCTGCATGGGTGGCCGCCCCCCGGACTCATAAAGACACGCGCCGCAGGGCTGATCTGTGCCGGTGGTACCCATTGTCCGCAATGCGTGCTGCGCAGCAAGAGCAGGACTGCCTCCGACAAGGCACTTGCAGTCGGCCTTGTCAGATGCAGCCTGCCAAGAGATGGGCTGCTCGCCGCCGCCGCCGCCGCCACCTGGACTTCCAGAGGTGGACTCGCTGAGAGGTGTTGGCATCACGCTGTCGCGGCCGGAGTCGGACCTTGCCGACATCTTTTGACGCTTCCCGCTGTCGCAAGGTAAACAATCTTGCCTGCAAGATAAGACGAGAACCGGCAGATGGACATAGTCATCATAACAAGGCATACACATTTTTCTGACAAAATGAGGCCTGCCGACATGCTCTGACCCTCCCTGCCAGAGCCCTGACACCAACCATCAGGTTCCAAATTCCAATACTACCCCACCGAGGAAAGCAGGAGGTGGTCCCCACATTGCACTCTCAGAGTGTGGAGCAACAGGAGATTAAGATCCATTGCTGCCCAGCTTGGGACAACAGGTGATCTCCACCACGGCCACACTCAGAATGTGGACCAACTGGAGATCCAGGTTCGTTCCCAGTTAGGGTATGGGTGGATCAACAGCTTGAATCCCTCACAGTGTTGCAGTGATGGGTGGATTGCTTTTTCTTTTTTTTTTTCTTTTTTTTCTTTTTTTTGTGCAATTTTAGTGGGACATACGTTCAGGTAACGAGTCGCAATCGCGCCTCTCCTTCACTAATTTTGGCAAAATCTGTATGGTTAAGTTGTGCGTAACACAGTTTTTTACATACTTGCGGCGCATCGCGATGCGCTGTACTGCGCACGTGAGACGCACCGCGCTTCCCGCACGACGCGCGCGCACTGCATGCGGCGCACCTCCGAAAATGGGGGTCAAAAAAAAAAAAAAAAGTTGTGAGGGGCGGTAGTAGACCCGGCCCCCTGCTCGCATAAAATAAGAAACGGCCATTCAATTTTTTTTTGGAGGCCGCGCGTTGGCCTGAAAGCTTTTAGTAACCTGTAGTCCAGGTAACACTCTGTGTGACACTGTATGGTAGGGTTATTGCAGTCTGTATGGTAGGGTTCTTGCAGGCCAGATTCAGTCATGATGAGGGTCGTGATCTCTCAACATCAGAATTTCTTTGCACGAGTGAAGCCCGGCACGTCCAACCTGTCAGAACCTCAACGGTAATGTTCACCAACGGGCTCGCTGCACAACTCTCGACATGCACAACAAGCCATAGGGCCTCGCTGCACTACTCTCAACATGCACAAAAGACAAAAATATTGGCGGTGTATCTTTCCATATTCTAACGCAAGATTCACTCTCGTTTTGCACATTTCCAGAGTAGTGCAGCGAGGCCCATATATGGCAATGTATCTTTCCATGTTCAAGCAGAGGATTCAGTCTCATTTGTTCAGAGATTCTCCAAAAAAAAAAAAAAAATGTTTCTAGAGATACGTTACGTGCTTACCTGATTTATCGGCCCTTCGTTCTCCACCACCCAACGTATGAATGAATCTTCCGCCAGAACATGGAAAGATACCATGGTAACCGCGGACCCGGACACCGGACACTTCCCGACTGTCTTCCAGACCAGTGTCTGGACCGGTCCGGACTGTCCGGTGATCCGGACATCACCGGACACCGGACATAACCGGACACCGGACAGT